AATTTTTTTTGTAACCTTGGCCAGATCTGTGCCTTGCCACAATTCTGTCTCTGAGCTCTTCAGGCTGTTCCTTTGACCTCATGATTCTCATTTGCTCTGACATGCACTGTGAGCTGTAAGGTCTTATATAGACAGGTGTGTGGCTTTCCTAATCAAGTCCAATCAGTATAATCAAACACAGCTGGACTCAAATGAAGGTGTAGAACCATCTCAAGGATGATCAGACGAAATGGACAGCACCTGAGTTAAATATATGAGCGTCACAGCAAAGGGTCTGAATACTTAGGACCATGTGATATTTCAGTTTTTCTTTTTTAATAAATCTGCAAAAATGTCAACAGTTCTGTGTTTTTCTGTCAATATGGGGGTGCTGTGTGTACATTGAGGAAAAAAAATAACTTAAATGATTTTAGCAAATGGCTGCAATATAACAAAGAGTGAAAAATGTAAGGGGGTCTGAATACTTTCCGTACCCACTGTATATACACACACAGACAGACATGTGACAGCAGCACAAATCTGGGTATTGCGCCAATACTTTCAGTTCATCTTCCATGTTTTTACAGGTGCTTGTAGATGTTCCCTGCACCACTGACAGACACTCAGCAATGGTGGAAGAGAACAATATTTTTAAGAGATCCAGGACCAAAGAGAGACAGAAACTTCCCCTCTTGCAAACACAGCTGCTTCTGTAAGTAATTTTTTTCAATGGTGCTAATGCACAGCATGCATCATTAAAAGAATAGTTTGTCCAAAAATGAAAATGTGCTGACAATTTACTCATCCTTAGACCATTCAAAATGTTTTTTTTATCTGAACCGATTTGGAGACGTTTAGCATTACATAACTTGCTCACCAATAGGTCATTTGCAGTGAATGTGTGCCATCAGAATGAAAGTCCAAACGGCTGATAACAATCAGTTAAGGTCTTGTGAAGCAAAAGTCTGAATGTTTGTAAGAAAAAAATCTATCACTTAGACGTTTTAGCTTCAAAATGCTGCTTACAGCTATAATAGTCCATAATACTGCTTTCTCCAGTGGAAAAAAAGTAAATCTCATCTGAAACAGGATAAAATATGCACGGATCAAGCACCAAGGAAAACAGTCCAAAAGAGTTCTAAACAAACATATCAGTGGATTTTGTCGTGCGAGGACAACAGGGTTTGTCACTGGATGAAGCATGATTATGGACTATGGATTATTTTGGCAAGAAGCAACAGTTTAAGGTTAAAAATACAGATATTTTATTTTTGGGTGACCTTTAATAATGTCTCAATATATATTATTCATTCACTGGGCTTTTTTTTTCTCCTTATTTTGTTGAATGTGTTTTGTGTAAATTGCAAAGAATGAACTAGATGGGCATTCAGATATTGGCTCAACTGACATCGTCACAGGTTTGTGCTTCAGTAGTGCCCCCTAGTGACCAGACATGGATTTTTTCAGCCTATAAGACTGGCATAAGGCATTTAATCAACCTTGAAACATTTTACTGTTGTAAATGAAATCGATGGTTTGCGCAACGCTTTTCTGACACTTTCCATTTTGCGCCACAGTTAAGTGTAGGAGAGTTGGTTTTACCATACCTGTGTGCCAACTTTGGACCAATTTATATGTGTAAATTGCAAAGAATGAACTAGATGGGCATTCAGATATTGGCTCAACTGACATCGTCACAGGTTTGTGATTCAGTAGTGCCCCCTAGTGACCAGACATGGATTTTTTCAGCCTATAAGACTGGCATAAGGCATTTAATCAACCTTGAAACATTTTACTGTTGTAAATGACCGAGGCCTCATAATGACGGAATCTCAGATGTCCGTAGGTGGGTGAAAATCATAACGGCTTTCCCTGGAAAAGGCAAAAATAAGTGTTTTGTAGGGGGGGAAAAACTACTTATTATTCAGTCACACAGCCCAGTATTCTTGCGGGAACTTTTGCAAAGTTTATTTCAAAGCTTCAGGGCCCCTCCAAATGGTCATACTCACTCCTTTGATTTCCTCATTTGTATCTGAGATAAGTGTACTGATTAATTACTTGTATACCACGGTTAAGAGGAAAGTTCACCTAAAAGTGAGCATTCTGTCATCATTTACTCACCCTTACTTTCAATCCCATGTGATCTTCTTTCTTCTGCTGAACACAGAATATATATTAAAAAAAATTTGACAGTGAAAGTCAATGGGGTTCAATGTTGCTTTGGACCTGGACACAAGCAGTTCATCAAAATATCTTATTTTTGCTCCAGAGAAGAAAGTCATACAGGTTTTGATTAATGACGTGAGATGAGTAAATGATGACAACTTTCATTTTTGAGAAACATAACATTTTAAATGACAAAAAAATTATCTGGCTCGGTAAGTGTCACCACATGACATAAATTTACAGGGATATTCCACCAAAAATTAAAACTGAAAAATCCAAATCCAATCCTGTATGACTTTCTTTTTTCTGCAGAACACAAGATAAGATTTAATAAGATCACAATAAGTTTTGAAGAATGTTGGTAACCGAGCAGTTTCGGTTCTGATTGACTTCAGTTGTATTTTGTCCATATAATAGAAGTCAATGGGAACCAAAATAAAGAAAGTCAGACATACAGGATTGGACAGACCTTAGTACATTTTTATTTTTGTGTGGACTACCCTTTTAACCTATGTCATGTTAAACCTTACAAATATTATGTTTATATATTTTAATAGCTATATTGTTCAATTGTGACCCTGGACCACAAAACCAGTCATAAGGGTCAATTTTTTTTAAATTGAGATTATACATCATCTGAAAGCTGAATAAATAAGTTTTCCATTGATGTATGGTTTGTTAGGATATGACAACATATAGCCGAGATACAACTATTTGAAAATCTGGAATCAGAGGGTGCAAAAAAATCTAAATATTGAGAAAATCGCCTTTAAATTTGTCCAAATGAAGTTCTTAGCAATGCATATTACTAATCAAAAAATAAGTTTTGATATATTTACGGTAGGAAATTTACAAAATATCTTCATGGAACATGATCTTTACTTAATATCCTAATGATTTTTGGCATAAAAGAAAAATCGATAATTTTGACCCATACAATGTTTTTTTTTGGCTATTGCTAAAAATATACCCAAGTGACTAAAGACTGGTTTTGTGGTCCAGGGTCACAATTTATTGCAGTGTTTGTAATGTCAACTGCCTCCAGTCCTCAAACCTTCAAATGTAAGATGCCTTGGATATCAGTAAATCGCTGTACTCCATGTTTGTTCAAATGTCCACAAGCTTTAACATCGTATTCACATAAAGGTAACACCTGACCTTAGGCACTACAGTGATAAGATATCTGATTGTGTGAAGCTCTGGCCTGAGGCATATCCTACTGCTAGGATGTCTGTGGTTCGAGCCGCATATCTGAAGAGCTAAGCATGAGGCCTCAGCACTCACTCTTCAGACTGTGGATCAAGGGTGGACTAGCCTCAGGGACTTTTTATGATAGGACAGTCAACTTGGGGGCCAGATGTCGAAACCAAGTGTCTGTGCAATGTAATTATTTATATTAAAATTTTTTTAATTAAATTATAAATATTTATTTAAAATGTAATCCAGGGATCAAATTCTTGCTAATGAAACATTTTTGCTTTTTTAATTAGCAATTTAATCAACATATAAACATAAATTCATTTAAGACACACAAAGGTCCTGTGAAATCAGTATCTATCACTTACATAATGCTGCAGGTATTAGTTTATATGCATATGAAATACACTACCAATCAAAAGTTTGGAATTATTTTTTTTTCTCAGTAATGTTATTACAATTTTAAATTTGTGTTTTATTTGACTATATAGTAAAATGTAATTTACTCCTGTAATGGCAAAGCTGAAATTTCAGAAGCCATTATTTAAGTCTTTAGTGTCACATGATCCTTCAGACATCATTCTAATATGCTGATTTTGTGCTTAAGAAACGTATTTTATTACTGTTTATTACTATTTTTGTGGAAACCATGCTTCACTACCATTCAAATGCTTGGGTTAAGCAAGAATTAAAAATAATTATAATAGTAATAATAATACTTTTTATTTAGCAAGCATACATAAAATTTATCAAAATGTATTGAAATTAAAGACATTTTTAATGTTGCAAGATTTCCATTTTAAATAAATGCTGTTTATTTTATTTTTTATTTATCAAAGAATCCTGAAAAAGAAAACATCACGGTTTATGGTCTACTGTTTTCAACATAATATTAAGATCATATTTTTGAGCACCAATTCAGCATATTAGAATGATTTCTGATGGGTCGTGTAACACTGGAGACTTTACAATCACAGAAATAAATGACATTTTAGAATATATCCAAATAAAGAGTTACATAAAATTGTAATAAGACTTCATAATATTACTATTTTTTACATCTGTTCCCCCCGAATGAAATATTGTAATTGCAGCCTTGCTGAGCATAAGACTTTGTTCAAAAAACATAAAAAACACAATTATTCCAAACTTTTTTTGACTACCAGTGTACCATATAGCTATGGTCCAGTCCACTGTCTCTATCTCTGTGGTGCATCCGTCATTACTGATGCGATGCAGCATTCAGATAATCACAGTTAAAACATTCTGCTGAAACAGCATTCTACAAACTATCCCATGATGCTTAGCATGAATTACCACACCATACATCTTCCTGCTTAATCTACCATTAAGAAAATAAATCCTTGCAGGCAATGGCCGTTTCACTAGGTTTTTTTTTTTTTTTGATTGTCTGCTTTCCTTAAGTCTTGCACAGTAGTGAAATGTCTTGCCTAACTCTCAAGTGTCCAGTGGAGACTTAATCCATACGACTGTGTCCTGCTTTCAGAGAGTGCTGAGCTTCCCTCTGCATGCCCACAATGCCACTCTCCATGTCTGAAAGGTATGTGTAGTGTGGCATTGATGTGTAATTACGTGTGACTGAAACAGCGCCTTGGTGACAGGCTCTAGAGTGCTGCGGTTGGCTTGGGTGAGCTCTCCCCAGAAAAGAGGGGTTTTCTTTGCCCTTAAGAGGATTAAGTGGGGTTGTGATAACAGAGGGATAAAAATAAGAGAATTGAATCAGAAAAGAGAGCTGGGACCAAAGAGGGCGACCTCTCGCAACCGAGTTCAAACACCTGTTGACATCGTCCCATCATCAGCGATTTCTCAGTCACGCTGCTACTTCTCTCTCTCTCTTAAATATTTTAATTTAAGATATTAAATCACATTAATTTATGTTCAGGTTTAACAGCCGTCTTGGTTTCCTGGAGTTCTTTGATGTGTATCTGAGCAATCTGCTGTTAGAGAGATTTACCTCAGCTGACAGCTTGGAGAGTATGTGGCAAAATTGCAGTGCCAGCGGGCTAAAAGAATGTTGGGAACAGGATTAGGATCATATTCTGGCAGTGCCTGTCACTTCCTCAATGGGCTGGGGTTCCTTATGGTGGCAGCTTTCATTCTCCATGCAGCTAAAACCAAAAAGGAGAGCATGAGGGGAAAAAAGTTCTGATTGAATGGTACACTGTGATTTTTGTGCTAGCCATACTTAAGGTTCATTTTGTGCTTGTGTATGTCTGACAGTGACTCCTGATTAAACACTTAGGTGAATTTAGAAACTGCTTAATTGAATTTGGATGCTGCGGAGCTTAGCGGTAATAGCTATTCGTTTTGGTACAATAGCATTTAAAACCCTCCTGTTGTGTTTGACCAGCATTTGATTTCAAAATGCTTGAAAAACTGATTCATTTGTGGCTATTTCTCATTTAGGGTAATGATTGTGCATGCAAAGTGTCGACACATAGGAGTGTTTTGGAACTTTTTTGTTGGGGTCAACACAAATTAATTACATAAATTAAGACCCCCAATTAATTTTCATGCAATTTGCTAAAAATCAACACTTTAAAAAGACAAAGGCATAAAATAAACGAGAACGTATGAAATCCGACTTGTCTTCTGAATAAACCAAGGAAAATGTACTGTTTCTTTATATTGCTAAATTTCACAGTCAAAAATAAATATTAAAATAATAAAAACTGTCAAATGATGTTTTTGGTTGTTAGTTTTTTGGATCTCTATTACTAGACTGTTGCAGCATAGCAACAAAAGGAAGGTGTAAGAAACCCATTTTACCCTCACGTGAGTTTGAGAACCAGACATATAAAGGCAGCTAAAATTTTATGTCTCACATAAATATATCTCACCCATTTCTCACATATATAAACATTTTTAAATCTCTGACAAGCTACAATAGAGGTTTTCTGTTTTTACATGAACATTTACCCTCACGTGAGTTTGAGAACCAGACATATAAAGGCAGCTAAAATTTTATGTCTCACAAATATATCTCACCCATTTCTCACATATATAAACATTTTTAAATCTCTGACAAGCTACAATAGAGGTTTTCTGTTTTTACATGAACCTTTAATGTTGTTCAACGCATTGATTTTTGGCAAATTGCATGGAAATCAATGCGGGTCTATTTTGTATGTTGCATGTCTCATTACACGAGTCAGTAAAGAGAGCTTGACCTTGTTGTCATAATCTGTATCAAACCCCTGGATTGTATCTGCATGTCTCTGGTTAAGGAGGCCGGTCATTGGTGCTGTTGACTTACTTGAACATTTTACCTGAAGTTAATTGCTGTTTTGCATTGTTTGTTTGTTTTCATAATGAAGCATTCTGCTGTCCCATGTGTGTTTTGATCTACTCAAAAGGTTGAATGTTAGAACATATTACACTCAGCTGTATTTAAATATGGCATGAAGCACTTTAAAAT